GACGGTGATTAGTAGAGATGCAGTGTTTGATGAACAGTCTATGTTGGGATCAGATGTGGATAAAGTACAGGTGGAGTTGGAACATGTTCCAGCAGTTCTTGATAAGGGAGAGAGTTCGAGTTCTGCACCTGATGATGTTGATCATGATGTTTCTGGCCCAACTGATGTGCCAGAGAGCTACAAGTTAGCTCGGGATAGAGTGAGGCGTACCAATATACAAGCTCCGGTCAGGTTTGGTTATGAGGATATGGTTGCATTTGCTCTTACGATCACTAGTGTGGATCCTTGTACTTTCCAGGAGGCTGTTTCTTGTGAGAATAATGATAGATGGAAGGCTGCCATGGAAGAAGAGATGAATTCTGTACACAAGAATCAGACATGTGAGTTGGATGTTCTTCCTGAGGGGAAGAGAGCTATTGGTTGTAGGTGGATTTACACAAGGAAGTCATCGGTAACAGAAAAAGGAGGGGAAAGGTTCAAGGCTCGATTGGTGGCTAAAGGATACTCACAGCAAAAGGGGATTGACTATGATGAGACATTTTCCCCTGTGGTTAGACATACTTCGATCAGGGCTGTACTTGCATTGGTGGCTAGTTGGGATTTGCATTTGGAGCAGATGGATGTGAAGACTACTTTCTTGCATGGTGATCTCGCAGAGCCTATTTACATGCAGCAGCCAGAGGGCTTCGTTCAACCAGGGAAGAAGCATTTATATTGCAGGTTGAAGAAATCCCTGTATGGCTTGAAGCAAGCATCGCGGCAGTGGAATATACGGTTTGATTCGTATATGGTGAAGATTGGCTACAAGCGTTGTGATTTTGATTGTTGTGTTTACACCAAGAGCCTTGGTGATGGTTCTATGATTTTTCTGCTACTTTGTTGATGACATGCTTATTGCTGCCAAGAATATGCGTGATATTATTGATCTGAAAAGCCTTTTGAGTCAGGAATTTGAGATGAAGGATTTGGGGGCTGCGAAGAAGATTCTTGGGATGGAGATTCACAGGGATAGAGGATCAAAGAAGCTGTGGTTATCTCAGAAGGGTTATGTGGAGAAGGTGCTACAGAGGTTTGGGATGAATGAAGCAAAACCGGTGAGCACTCCATTAGCAAACCACTTCAAGCTTCTGTTGATCAGTGTCCCAAGTCGGACAAGGAGACTCAGGATATGGTGGAGATACCTTATGCCAGTGCTATTGGATGTCTGATGTATGCCATGGTATGTACTCGTCCTGATTTAGCTCATGCTGTTGGTCAAGTTTGCAAATATATGTCTAGGCCGGGTAAACATCATTGGGAGGCAGTCAAATGGATTTTCAGATATTTGAAAGGTACTGCGGGACATGGTATTGTGTTTGGAGATCAGCGGTTGGATCCTTTGGTTGTAGGATATGTGGATTCTGATTATGCTGGGGACTTGGATAATAGGAGATCTACCACTGGGTATGTCTTTACTTTTGGTGGAGGGCCTATTTGTTGGAGGTCGAATACTCAGCCTATAGTTGCTCTATCTACAACTGAAGCTGAGTATATTGCTTTGGCTGAAGCGGCAAAGGATGCAGTGTGGCTTGCTGGATTGGTTAGAGAGTTGGGTATTCAGCAAGGTGGAGTTCTAGTACATTGTGACAGTCAGAGTGCCATTCATTTGGCTAAGAATCAGATATATCATGCTAGGACGAAGCATATTGATGTGAGGTTCCACAAGATTAGGGAATGGATTGCATCTGGTGATATTCAGTTGGAGAAAGTTCATACTGAAGAGAATGTTGCTGATATGTTGACTAAGACTGTTACTTCTGACAAATTCAAGCATTGCATGGATTTGTTGAATGTTTCTGCATGCTAGAGTTGCATGGTACCCCCGGCCTGCTTGGTGTGTCTCGCAGAGATGCTCGCTATTGTGTTCTCCTAAGGAGGTGATATATTCGCCAAGGTGGAGATTTGTTGGTATGGCTCATATATTCACAAAGGAAGAGGGCAGACTGATGCCTGCGAGCGCAAATAGATGCATAGCTAGTTCTTTCACCCAAGGCTGCAATACATGCAAACCAAATGTCCCGTAATTAGGTCCATAAACTTGTTGAGTCGAGCTCGAGACTCGGCTTGTTAAATAAACGAGCCTTAAATCGAGCTCGACTCGTTTTTCACTAAGAACAAGTTGATTTTAAGTCTTAATGAACCGATCTTGGGCTATAACAAACAGAACTAATGAAGATTATATAAGAAATATATTTTTGAGATTTATCGAGCCGAGTTGAGCACGTTAACCAAACGCACTTTAAATGTGCTCGAGCTCAGCTCGTTTATCTAATGAGCTCAAACGAGCCGAGCCGAACTCGAATCTTAGCGAGTCAAGTCAGGCCGTTTAGTTTAACAACACTACTGGTAACATAGTTCGAGTCGACTTGTGAAAGGTCATACTTGGCTCACTTGTAAATTTAAACAAGCTGAACTCAAACAACTAATCTTCTATCAAACAAGTCGAGGTAAACGTGTTCGCGATCGACTCGATTATAACTTTGGGTTTTGGTCTAAATGTTTATTAAACGATTTGAACTGAATTTAAACGATCCGAACTCGGGCTCACATTTCTGTTTGTTTATTAAATTAGTTTACTCATGGCAACTCGTTTATTAAATGTACACGAATATAAACATGAAGTACTTGACTTGAATTATCTAGCTAGACATGTATATAAAAAAATAAAGTATGAAAAAATTTTAAAGTATTAATATGAGTTACATGAATCACGCATTAAATAATTTTAAAATATAGATGTTGTATTTATAGAACAAAAATCAATTATATGGACCTCCTAAAAAACTTGTATTAACTACTATTTTATACATATGCCATAACACAAAATTTAATTAATTAACTATTATTATTTAAATGCACAGATATTTTTTCTCATATATTTGAATTTTAATTAGAAAAATTAATATATGTATTAAGAAGACTGTCATGAGATTTATTCCTATTGTATGACATGTCATTTAAGGTTCATATATCATTTCATTGAACATGCCACATAAATAAATGATACTTGACAATTGACATTGATTTTTTTATATCCTAAAATAAAATTTATGTAATATCAATATATTTATATATATATATACCTAAATTGCAAAATCAATATATTTTATCGCGTACTAAATATTCTAATGGAAGTCTAACACGAGCAATTATGTCCCGAATAACTTTATTCAAATAAATTTTATCTAACTAAATAATATACGTAAACAAAAAAGAAGAATGGAAATTAATGACGTAATGAGCTAAAGGAAAAGCGAGAAGAGACTTAAACTATTTTCAAACATATAATTATTAATTTTAATTTTAAATAAATATAATTTACTTTAGGCAAAAATAAGATTAATCATGGGCCAAAATATTTTTACTAGTATACATTTGGATGTCCCAAAAAAGTAAGACTGGACTGGATCCCACCCCAACCTTTGGGGTGTCTCTACCCCTGAGCCCAAAAAATACTTAAACAATCGATCTCTCGACAAGGTCAATACTTGACACGGCCCAGCTCATTTTCGGCTGACACTGTAAGAAAAGAAATTAGTTTTGTACCAATTTAACGGTTCCATTTTTCGTAAGTGGAAGACTTAAGAAATTCTCAAAACCATTTTAAGGTGAATGAGAAATTAATTCTAAGGGTTATATGTTGAATAATTGAGTTTGAGTACCTAAAAGGTTGTAGAGTTGACAAACATACTGTTTTGACAAATGTTTGGACAAAATAAACGAGCCATGTCATGCATTATGTATGCTAGAATTGCAGAAGGGTTCGATGGGGACGAGTAAAAAAAAAAACCTAAATTCCAAGTCAGAATGAGCGCGTACGAGCTCCCAGCGCGCAGCCAGGCCCCGTCGCGGGCGCAATAGCTTGTTGTGCGTTGCCGAAGGATGCGACAGGTCGTCGTGGGCGCGACGAGCGCGCGATGCTGACACACATGTTCATTCCGAAGAGGTTTCTACTCAGATTTGGTCGACCGGGCACGTCCCAAAAGGTGTCTTTTGATGTCTTGAACCCCTGGAGATGTGTTAGATTAACATTTATAAATTCCCATAAAGTGAAATTGTTTTATAGATCAAATTTTCAAGAGCTCTTTGCATCGGTTTACAAAATTCATAAATCATCTTGTGTTCTTTGTGTTTATTTCTATCTTGAGAGTTCTGAAACTTAAGTATTATTCGCCGATAGTTTGTGTTATGTGTATTTGAGTTACCGCTATACACAAATCGAAAATCGTTGTATGTTGGAGACGTTAACCCTGAGTAATATACAAGGTTATTTCGTCTTAAGGAACGCGTATTTTATGTGGCTCGACTTTAGGTCATTTTTTTAGATTCACATACCACACAAGCTACAAACACTAACACCCAAAATTTTCGGATCTTGGATTTGTGACAATTGAAGCAACTCCAAGCTTGTAACTACGATTAAGTGACATCCATTTTCGTACGATTAAGTGACATTCATTTTCGTAATAAACAATTTATTTATATATTGTGATCGATGTTTGAAAGCTTTCATTTCAAAGCTAAAATTATACCAAATTCATTTTTCCAAAAGTTAGGACTCAGCAACATTATTTTTTATAATAATAATAATAATAAGAATAATAATAATAATAATAATAATAGTATAGATAGTTTGCCGGAACAATGGCAGCAGATAATAATGTAAACTGCCGGCACACCAAAGCGTCTTGTAGACGCTCCAATCATCCGTCACCAGTTCGCACGCCACGTGTCCTATTTCAGTGGGCCCATCCAACTGGGCGGCCGCCCTATTCAGTCAAAGCAATCGTTGACCGCCCCACACGCGCCTCACATAACCGACCCGACAATTTTCCCTATATAAAAACAGAGGCCTCGCACCCCCAAAAGCGCACATCCAATTGGCCATTAATTATCAGCACCTTTTTTTTCCCCATATTACGTAATCGGAAATCCATTTTTGGAAAGGAGTGCGTAGGATAATGGTGAGGGAGAAGGCCACCGGAGCCGGCAAGGACGGCAGCGTCAAGGAGGTCCGCTACCGCGGCGTCAGGAAGCGGCCGTGGGGGCGCTACGCCGCCGAGATCCGCGACCCGGGGAAGAAGAGCCGCGTCTGGCTCGGCACATTCGACACCGCCGAGGAGGCGGCGCGCGCGTACGACGCCGCCGCACGGGGGTTCCGCGGCTCCAAGGCCAAGACCAACTTCCCCCTCCCTCTCCCCTTCGCCGCCGCAGCCGCGTACAGCCCCAGCCAGAGCAGCACCGTCGAGTCTTCCATCGGGGACCTCGCCCAACGCGGCGACCACGTGGAGCTCGATCTCACGCGCCGCCTCGGCGCCGCGGCGGAGCGCGGCCCGAGCTCCGTCCCCGGCTGGCGGCCGATTTTCCTGTACGGCGCGATGGCGCGGCAGGGGACGGCGGCGGATGGGATCGGGTTCTTCCCCCACGGCGGCGTGCGGCGAAGCGAGTCGGACACCTCGTCGGTGGTGGATGAGAACCATGTCGACGGATCTGATGCTAAGAGAGGGTTGGATCTCGATCTGAACATGCCGCCGCCGGTGGAAGCTTGAATATCGGCGAAAATTGAGGTGATATAACTGATGATCTGTAAATAAGCTACAAAAAGAAAGATGGATCCCTTGTTTTTATTTTCTTTTCAGCTGAGATTTATTTTTCTCTGGTTGTTACAAATTAGTATAATTGAGGACGGTCATAATTAGGGTTCCGTCAATTTTCCGTCTTCTTAATTTGAGAGGAAAAAGGATATCAAGAATTCAAAGGTTCTTTTCTTTTTGGAGTAAATCGATGTAATTGATCGGGATTGTATCAGATTAGATCAACTATCTCTAACTATTTCTGACGGTTATATGATAATCTAACGACAACTATCTCTGACTATTTCTGACGGTTATATGATAATCTAACGAATACAAAAATCACAACGGATAAGACAGTAGCATTTTCCTTTAGTTTTCTAGAAAGATAAATTGAATTTTGTCGTTGTTTAAATGAGTTTGTTTGTTTGACATTTGAAATAGGATATTTTGTGCAAAACTGGCTTTTATTAATGAAAAGTTGTTCAAATGGTGTTAGTGTGTCATTTAAATGGCTTATTAATGGTGAGATGTGAATGCCTTTTAGTGATAAAAATATATATTGTTATAATTAAATCAAGATGTTATATAACAAAATTAAAATATAATATAAATATAAGTATTTTTTTTATATCAAATAAAACGGATTATTGAATAATGAAATTAATAATCGTGTGGCACTGTGGCATCGTGCAGGAAAGGGACGGCACCAGAATAGAAACGAGGATCGCAAAGACCTACGAAGTCCGTGTTGACTGTGTACATGTCGTCCCTAAGGTAGACGCCACGTGTTACCTCATTGCCTGCCGCCCATCATAATTAATGGCATTTTGGGACTTTTTTTTTTATTATTATTTTTCTCGACTTTAGCTACAAATTTATCACGGCTATATATTGACGATGACATATCATGGTGCTGATATAAAGTTTGAGGTAAAAGCATTCGAGTAATGCTATATGTACATACACTTTCATTTAGTGGGACCTACCAAAATTAAAAAATCAAGTGGATCTCATTCAATGTGATAGTTATGTATACTTCTATGTACATTATTATGTACTTGTAGTATTTTTTGTCCACTAAATATCTCGCAATTTAGACACACTCATTCATTCAAACACAACCATATGAGACCCATTACCCACCCATACAACACTATTTTTATATTTTATTCTTAATAAAACTATATATTTTTGTAATTAGAATATTTAATTTTAAATTTTTAAATACACTAAATATTATTAGATTTAAAAAAAAACATAAATTAAGATTACAGAACAAAAAAAAACTAATTTAAAAGGTAAAACACAAAAAAAATAATTAAATAATAAATTAAAAACAAAACAAAAATAAACAAAGTAATTGAAAAAAAAAAAAAAAAGACACCAAGCCAAAATAAAGAAATTAGTTGAAAACAAAAGAGAAAATGAGAAATGAACGTTCAAGGAATTGAATGAAGTGGTGAGCCCCCTTAAACGGATTAGTTGCATCCGTATTAACGCGGGGGCGTTTAAACGGCAGAAAATTTAAGACCAATGCAGATGCTCTAATAGTAAAATTTATGAATCGCTATTCACCGTTTTTTTAGACTATTTTGCCCTTCTCATTTTTTCAAAAATTTTAAAAAATTATAAAATTCTCTAGAAGGCAATTTCCGGCGAAAATATATTGCACTTATGTATGGTTTTGATTTGGTTTTTTCGAAACATACAAAAGGAAGAAAGGTGAATGTTTTGAAGTGTAAGCGAGGAGAACGTTACAGAGGCAAAATACGATATGTAGATAAGGTTGTTTCCCGACGTAAAAAAAATTAAAGCGTGTCAGTGTCAGTGTCCTTTTGAGATAAAAGTCAAACTAGACGCAAAAACAAAAGCATATTGGACGTCTGTGTAAGTTCTAATGATAAGAAGGGAAAGCATAATCTTGCACTTGTTGTGTATCCTGAGAGTCATCGAAGGTGCGCGGACTTAGTGCTTCATCTAAGAAGATTGTTTGTGATATGACTGTTGCTCAGGCAAAATCGACACAAATTTTAGTTGCGATCCAGGAAAAACCCGGTAGACAACGCCACTCGCCGACATGTGTATAACTATAAAGAGAAATTACGGAGAGATAGTTTTGAGGATAGAGACGTGACTTCTCAGCTTCGGCATTTGGCTAGGGAAAACAATTATATAGTTTATACAGATGTCGATCGGGACACACATGCGTTGACACGTCTGTTCATGATGCATCCTCAATCAGTCAGTCTATTCCGGACATATTACTGGTACGTTGGGATAGATTCGACGTACAAAACAAACATGTACGTTAATTTATAAATAACAAATTAGAGCACCCACAATGCATTGAGTCTCTTAATAAAATATCCTAGGCCACATAGGAAATAGACCTAGTCTATTAAAAAATGCCTCCCAATGCAATTAAAGGTGGACATGGTCTAGCTTATGTGGCAATAAAAAAAAAAGAGACCAAGTCCACACTTGGGTCTATTTTGGACCCAAGTGCAAACCCAAACACTCATCATTTATTCCTCATTTAATTTTTTTTTTTAATAAATGAAACATATTAGAGCATTTTTATTGGTTGAAATGTATGCTAGACCTAGTATTTTATTTTTGTATTGAATAGCTTTTGAGTTTTTTTACTTGAGTTTGTCCACGTCATTTAGGACTTAAGTCTATCTATATGCCACATATGCAAAATTAGACGCAATGCATTGTGGGTGCTCTTAATATGAATCGTAATTAGTATGTTTGATTATGTTTTATGATTTGATGTTTTCCCTTCTTGCTCATTTGCACAGGTACTGTATGCCGTTGGTGAAAATGATTGGGATGACGCCGTGCGACAAGAATTTCTTAAAAGCACATGATATTTTGAAGGATGGGAGCGAGAACAGTTATGACTGGGTTCTACAGAAGTTGAGACTTTTGATATGGTATGAGGTACATTCTACTGCATTGTCATCACTGACAGGGAGTTGAGCTTGATTACTCATGTTTAGAGAAATTTTTCCGAAGCTGCCAACTTACTTTGCACGTGGCACATCAACAAGGATGTGGAAGACAGAGTCTATCGACTCTTTGGAAAAAATAAGTTGTTCGCTCAGAAGTTCACGCAAGGTAGTGGAAGGCGATTGTCGAAGCGAGTACAGTGGATGGATACAACAATGTCGTTGATGAGCTGTATGTAAAATATGCGAAGGTTCAACATGTGTTACAATATGTGGAGCAGACATGGTTAGTCCACAAGGAGAAGTTTGTGAAAGAGTATATGGAATTACATTTTGGTAACACAACTTCGTGTAGGGTAGAGAGTGCACACACTGTGTTGAAGACCTGGCTTAACACATCGACCGGTGCACTCGATATAGTGTGGGAGAAGATTAATAAGGAGATTGAGTCTCAACATACCGAAATCAGGTACATTACTTAAAGTACATATATTTACTGCATTAATTATATTTTTCAGTGTGTCTAATGTTATGTAATGTGTTACCAGGTGTACGCTGGAGTCTTAGAGACTTAGGAAGGGTGTGCAGTATACATGGTTCGCGTACTTGTCACTGCATGTCTGGCATCACTGGCTGAATGTGTTGAATGCTGAGCTGAAACGGATGGGAATCTTGGGCGATGATGTTTACTGGCGATGCGGATGTGCATTGAGATACACTCACAGACTCCCTTGTGCATCAAATCTTTTGCGGAGATAGGCATATCATAGAGCCAAATTCTCATATTGTCAAGCGCTCTCTGTCTATTTACTCTCTGTCTGTTCTGGCATTTAAGCATGCCTCTAAACTCTTGAGTCTATATGCGGAAGGCTACGTACCCTAGGAAGCTAGGGATGACACTCCCATCAATGGGTCCACCAGAAACTAGGCTTTTAACGATCCAGCTATCATCTGTTTCAGTTTTAGATCGTTTGCTAGTACCTGCATTAGAATAGAACATATACAAATGTTACATTTGAGTCCAGCTACCATTTTTATTGAATAAAAATATTACATTATAAACAACAATAATACGTAAATGGTTTACCTGAGGATCCAGTATTCACAAAACTCCCATCAGACTCTCGTGGGCGTGCAGGATCCGTAGGTGGTGGATGAGGCTTTCGTGAGGGGGGAGGATGAGGCATAACGTCCTGATAATCCGCAGAGTCAGAGTCATCAGACTCATCTACAGACTGCACTCCCTGGCTATCGACTCGTCATAATAACGGACTGTTGCGGGGGGTCTCGAACTGCCAACATGGTCAGCGTGACCATCAGCTCGAATCGGTCTCCCTGTGACTTCACTTCACTTTGAAAAGTTTGTTTGGTCGTTCGATTACATTGACCTCTCCTGGCAACATTTTATATATAAATATTTTATAATTATAGATAATGAAAATATTATTTTTTAATATAAATATTTCTAAATTTTAAATATTATGTATATATATATATTGAATTAATTATAAGAATATACTTCTTTTTTAATATTTTTTCATCGTTTACTTACTTTCATATTTTATATATATTCATTATTTATTTTTTTAATTTTTTTATATTTTACTTCCATATTGTATATATATTCATATTATTATTTTATATATTTTTATATTTCTATATTAATCATATAATTAATTAAATATTTAAAAAAATGGGATTGTCTGGCAGGCGGGGCCGAAACACGGTGGTGGTGTCCGGTCCCCGAATGCGAGCATCAAGGGGTCGTCCGACCCCAATTGCGAGCATCAACAGGTCTGTACGACCCCTATTTTCGAGCACCAAGGGGGTCGTCCGGTCCCCGATGGCGGACTACCCCGGGTGCGACCGATAGAGGTGTTAGTGTTTTGTACTAAAAGCTTGGTTTTGATTTATATTACACTTTTTCCCCTTATGAATGAGAATCATGTTAGATTAAACAAGTTCTAGGTTCTGTTGTTTTGCAATAGGTTGGGTCGTCATCGGGCGAACCAAAGATCA